GTTGACGTCATGATATCCATCCAACCACGTGACCCAAGCTCGGTTAAGGAAACCGTCATTCTGGACGACCCGGTTTTACCTGTTTTAAGTATCAGTCCTGAGGAATGCAGTAACATACAGGATTGCGTGACATCTTTGTTGAATGTCACGTGGGTGTGGCTGGCAAAGGTATTGGACGTGGTGGAAGGACAACTACAACGTGGAAAGTGCTTTGATACAAAGGTAATATTGCGTGACTAAAGTTCAATGTCACGAAATATGTAACGCAGACTCCGTATGTAACGCATGCAGTGCAAGATATGTTGTAACAAACTACGATGCTGTTGCGTGACCTAAGTAATGTGTTACGTGACAAAAATTCACTGTGTTTTTTTGTCGTTTCTTTCAGCGTTACTTATCTTCTCTACAAAAAACAGATGATAGTGACTTCTCACCTCTTTCCCGCTCGTCCACAACGATTTCTGGTGCCTCTCCTGAAGAATATTTGATGTTCCTGCTACGTTCCCATAGTAACGAGCACAGCGATACATTACCTGTGATTGACATGCTGTGGTGAGTGACTTTTATCGCCGCTTTGTTATATTTACTTCTTTGTTTGTATGTTGTATTTTTTATCACGCTTTCTCGAGGGTGATTGAGGCGGCGTGACACTGTCACTCGTCTCCTTTGAGAGAGTCTGTTACTCAGGGTATTGCCCTATTGATTCCCTATCTTTTACTACTTTGTTTCTTTTTTATCTTTCTTCATTTAATTCCTCCCATCCTCCCCCTTGACTCTCTTTGTGTGTCTCGCTTTCTCCCATTTCCTTTCTTTCACATCTTCATTTTTTAATTCCCTTCAATTCTTTCTCTTTCCTTTCAAGTCCTTCCTTATTATTAACAATGTGTTTTTCCCATTACAGCTACGAGCATATGGTATATATACTAGACTCTTTCCTCTACTGCGCCGAGCGCTGCACCAAACCAGAACAGACCCTAAACAGAAGCGCGTCCTCCATCAGCAGTGTCGATGGTGACGAATCTAGTTTCGGTCTCCACTCGATCGATATAAGCCGAGTTCATAGCGAGCCTGGGACTTCAAATGCTCAACCCAACCCAAGACGCATGCGCAGTAAAGAACGTGAAAACAATGTCAAATTTTTCGGAATGAACGTGAACGGGAGGGACCGGGACGAGTTTTTGCAAAACCTCCAAGCTACTTTATTGAAGAAGTCCCGGATGTTGGTTCCCAAGGCAACWTGGGAGGTGTTTACTCATAATGTGGGGACTCTGAGGATWAAGTCTGTTGATGAAATGGCTGGAAAGACCGGAAGTGGCGATGAGCATGAACTTCCGGTTTCAATTGAAAGTACCTCAAGGTAAGTCAGTCGAGCGCGTGTCACACCACACTAGCAGTTTTTGTTTCACGGGTTTAATGCTTTCTTTCACTCAGAATATCATATCCATATCCATTGGTGCAGCACTGGTCAGCGGATCAAATCATCGATAGATGGAAGATTTCTGTTGACTTATTTTCCCGCCTTTTTCTCGCTGACGGGCCAGGGGCCGAGCGGGACAGTTTTCTGGCAGCGCGCGCTGGGGTCGCTGGTCGACTCGCTAGGTGAGTTGTTCTTATTCGACTTTGACAGTAGAGCGAACGCAAGAAAACCATGAAATAAAATCAAACTAAATACTAACTAAAAGCGGCTATTTAGAGACAATTTGTCAGTATCAATGAACCAGAACACAATGAAGGTGAATCCACATGGGACCATTTTTAATTCATCTTTATTGCGTTCTGGATCATTGATACTGACAATTTGTCTCTAAATATCCGCTATTTGTTAGTATTTAGTTTGATTTTATTTCATGGTTTTCCTGCGTTTGCTCTAATGACTGGATTATAGAGACATTAATTATACGGAGGTCTTTGATATTTTCTCATTTAGTTTAAAATTCCACTCCCTTTGTAGATTCCGTCGCACAATGCTGTACTTAAGAGAGTCAGTAACTGCTGACTCACAGCAAGGCGGGCTCGGATTCGGAGGACTTGGAGGAAGAGTGGGTACTACATTGTCTATAGCAGTGAAGAGAACTCGACTCCTGGAAGATACGCTAAGAATTCTGGGAGAGGTAATACGACTTTAAAAAAAGTTTATATAAAATAGAAAATCTAAGGCTAAAAGAGAAGATACTTATTCGTTTTTTAACCATTTCGTATGTATAAACGTGTGTGTGACTTTTTTTACAGATGCAGCCATTTCAYTATAGTAATTTTCGCGCCAGGTTTGATGGCGAAGAAGGTTCCGGACCTGGCGTCAATCGAGGTTTTTTTGCCGCTGTTGCGAATGCTCTGAAGGCGGACAATAAAGTAAGTATTTGAGCTCACCTTAAAGGCCCAGTGTGCGCCATTATGCTTTGAGGCCTGAAGTGCGGTACAGTATCATAGTCTACCTAGTGCGATAGTGCGATAGTGTACCGTGTGCGGTACAGTATCGTAGTCTACCTAATGCGATAGTGTACCGAGTGCGGTACAACATCATAGTCTACCTAGTGCGATAGTGTACCGAGTGCGGTACAGCATCATAGTCTACCTAGTGCGATAGTGTACCTAGTGTGGTACAGTATCATAGTCTACCTAGTGTGATAGTGTACCTAGTGTGGTACAGTATCATAGTCTACCTAGTGTGATAGTGTACCTAGTGTGGTACAGCATCATAGTCTACCTAGTGCGATAGTGTACCGAGTGCGGTACAGCATCATAGTCTACCCAGTTTACATTAAATTGTATATTGTATATAAATTGTACTGTGCGTCTCGAATCTTTGACCATCTCACTTTTCTAAGCACTTTAAACGCTAATATTAGTGTTTTAAACTATCTGACATCCTTTTTATGGTGATATTTGGATACTATAAGTATTTTGGTTTAAATCATAACAATTACAGAGGCGCGCAAAGCATTATGGTGCAAACTGGGCCTTTAAACCCATTGAAGCATCCATGTTGCGAAGTTAAACTTGCTTTGTACATGAAGTGGTARTTTTTCCGAAACATTTTTAGCTAGTAATAAGATGTCGCATTATTTCGTTGCAGCTGCCACCGGATACTACGTCGTTACTTCACGAACCGGGCAAATTGCCTGAGCAAAGTGGGTTYTATTCACCAAAGCCCTGGGCTTACACTGAGAATATACGGAATGGGGCGCAACTGAAGGTATGGATAGCGGAATATGAAGGAAACCGAAATTTAAAGTGCCTTGACGTCATTATCATTACAATATCGTAACATTAAACCTTCAAAACTCAACACTGAAATGCAGGAATATTTCACCATTCAATTATTTACTTTATATAGAATGAGTTCACAGAAAATCAGAAATTATTGTGGCAGGCGTCTTGGGCACTTTAAATGATGTATTATGTCTTGAATGTCTGTAAGGATGTACATGTAAACAACCTTATGAAAGCTTTTTTATCGATCGAAAAACTATATTTAATTTATCTTTTTGGTTTTTGTATCTTAGCAAAATTTGAAGTCACACTAAAAATGCTTTAAAAAATCTCAGGAAAACCTCCTGTCATCACGCTTTTGTTCAACTAATATAGGAAACTATTATGCTGTTGTTATCTGTTTATAGACTCGACGTCTCAAGATGTTTGCGGCTATCGGTCGATTCTTAGGTCTCAGTCTGTGGTTCAACAATACAGTACCGTTAAACTTTAGTCGTCACGTGATTAAAGTTCTCTTAGACAGGTGAGGAAAGCAAACACGAGCACAAGTGCTGAATCAACGCCTTAAAGAATCCCAACSAACCACAATACAGCGCGCGCTCGTGTTATTGTAGCTTGCATACGCCWAWAATGCGACAAGCATACAATAGATTATAGAATGATTGTACCTKTGAGGTACTTAGTTAAAGGTTTTTATGTCCAAWATGAAARGAYGGAAGACGATTCGCGCTCACTTTRATAAATCMTACTAATACGCCAYTTTCGTGTCCACCTAAAATGGCGCTTCGGCTTGCAAGGTACGGCGGTTGGTTGYGATTCTTTATAACATYAGRAAAAGGGTCGAAATCGCATGAGATAATTTGCGTTGTATTGCTTATCCGTTTGATTATTTTGCAAAAAAAATATATTAAAATATAAAAAGTATAATAATTTTGTTTAAAAAGTGTAGATTCACTTAGGTTCTTTGACTGTACATTTATGATATTGACGATGGTAACGATGATTTCTTTAGGGAGGTGACATGGGAAGACCTGATATTCTTCAATGCCGATTTATTCGAAGGTCTCAGTCGTATGATGATTGACGCGGCKCACCCGTTAATGACGTCAGAGCGTTTCCAGGCAACGTATTGCTGTCATTTTGAGGTGAGTAGTACATTCGGGAACCATTTTGGGAACCATTTTGCTCTTGCTGTTTTAGTTGACTTTCCAAAGGCATCAGTTAATTGTGATCAAAATTAGGCTAAACGTGAGATTGCAGCGTTAGTTATTTGTGAATATGGAATTAATTAAATGAAATAATAAAGAAAGTACAAGAAAAGTAAAAATTCAAAACAAAAAAACATTTTTTTGCGAAGGAAGACTCATCATGTGGTCTATTCGGGCGAGGGACAGGGAGCCCGMCACTAAGAACGGCTGCTAGGAGACTAACTTCCCATAATGCTTCATTCTAGAAAATGTCRCCGGGATGCATTGCGCGCGCATGGTAATTACTGCGCTAATTATATTGTGACGTTGTAAACTTATTAGATTAGTTAAGAAAAAGATATAAAGATCACTGAATAAAACTATTTTTGGGGAAAGAAAATCTCAACTACTTCGCGTTAATATGTTTGTTTTTTTAAAAGAAATTGAAAATATAGCACATTTTAAATCAGAAATCAAATTGTACAAACATGACGTAACAATGAAGTTGCTTTACGTCAAATTGAAATTATACGACGTCACAATTCTTAATRAAGTCAAATTCAATTAGTGTTGAACACGAGAAGGTGTGATCAACATGCTCACTTGAGTTTTTGTCAATTTTTTGGCGAAAATATGGGAAAAGCTTTAAGCAAATTCAAAAAGAACAAAGTGGCTCCGATGCCTGTGGAGCCTGACCCGTTTAGCAAAGCCTTGCTAAAACATGCGCAGAAGCTGATCGACCAAGAAAACGAATTGACGCGAGTAAGTGTGGCGACTCAGACGMGACCCAGCTACCTTTTGCAAAGCAGGAAGRAGCGATCCGGGACGCCATCTTGGCTCTCRTACGACGTCGATCTTGAAGGCCGTGTTGTTAAGAATGGAATCAAGATCAACTGCCCAGCAAAGTTGGAGAAAGACACGGCATTGCCAGTKCTTACGCTGGARATGTTGCTCGAGAAGCAAGAAGCCGCAGAGCGCAAGAGGCAAAATCACCTCGAAAACAAAAAGAAAGCAACCAAGAAGAGTGAAGATTTCAAGCAGCGTCAAGAGCTTGAAGAACARGAGCGACAAGCGAAAATTGCCGAAATGGTGGAGAAACAGAAGGCCAAACTCGCTAAAGCTGCTGAAAATAGACAAGCTCTTCTCGATGAAAGACGGAAAACAGCTCGCGAGAGTGTTCAAGTRAAAACCAGACCAAAGTCAGCCGAGAGCGAAGTTCAGCGACAAGCAAAGATCATCAAGTTGACTCTGAAACAACAACAAGCCGACCTCAACCGAAAGGAGCAACTACAACTCGTCAAGGCGCGAGCTTCAAACGCTCTTTGCAACGCCAAGACCAAAGTCCTTGAAGTTCAGCGCTCGGCCAAGGCTSAGCTGAAAGCGAGCAAGAACGCACGAAGGATGCGAAGCGCTGCTGCCAACAAGGAAAGAGCAGTTCGACGAGTTGTTCGCAAGCAGCAAATCAGAGAATCTCATGCCCAGCGAGTGAGAGCAAGAGCTGCCAAACAACAGAAGGAGGACGAAGAAGTCGATGAATTCGACAGAGAGTGGAATGCCGTCGAAACTGATGAGCACTTCTGTGAATCTGACAGCGATGAWGAYGCTCGTTGGGGCTAAGCTCGAMGCYCACTTGGCGCGTTCGTCAGGAGACGAGGAAGAAAAATTGAGGACAAAAAATAWAGAAATCTCCTAAAACGCGACAAGACAAAGACAAAAGATTACCAGAAAGAAAGCCGCTTTCATTTTTTGGTGACTTTCGGTATACTTTTTGAGGACTGACTGTCTTTATGATTAAAATTACCAGAAAACCAAAAAAAAATACAAAAAGATTAGAAAATAATACAAAAAAATCTATAATCAAAAAAGTGGTTCAAAAAAGCAAATAAAAATTCAAAAAAAGTTTTTACAAAATGTAACAAAAAAAAATTATAATTATTATGTAACCACWACAAARACCTCAATTTTTCACCAAGTATTTACGGTGTAAATCAATAATTGTACTTTTATTTTTTTCAATAAAAAATGTTATTCAAAAGCGATGACTTAATTTTTTTTAGAATTAATTTATTATCTATTTGATTTTTGTTTCTTTACTTTTATAACTTACTTCACTTTATAATTTGGCTGTTAAAAACTTCCTGAAATCTTTATATACAGGGAAACTTGATCAGAAATTTGAAATTATATGTTTGATTTTTCAATACTCCAGTTTCAAAATCTTATTTTTGCAGCCTTAACTTCGAAAGCATGTAATATATTCTCTTATTCAGTAGAGAATCTATTGTAATGTAATAGCCGAGTTTAGATATTTTGGTTCAGTGACCATGCACAAAAGAATTGCAGACGAGGCTCCGGGGAAATAAAGAATAAATCAAGATTATCCATTGATAATTTTATTTTTTTTAATATTGCAAAGAGTTATTTTGAAGTGCACGCTTCAAAATGACCAATCAAAGAGCGTATAATATCGTTTTATTCTTTATTTCCCCGGAGCCTCGTCTGCAATTCTTTTGTGCATGGTCACTGAACCAAAATATCTAAACTCGGCTATTACTCTCTCTATATAAAAAAGATAATCAAAACCCTTTATGTTTGAAGCTAAGCTTGCACAAAAGAGAATTTGAAACTGGAGTATTGTGGCGAATGGGGTGGCTTCAAATATACACTCGTAATCCGTTTCCATCCGTTGGTTTTAAAATGAAATCTTACAATACCTCTTTTCATCTAGTAGAACGGGATAATAAAGAGTAAGTTTTTGCTTATATTACGATGTATTTGGACTTYCAAACATAAAGTAAAGCTCGTAAGGGGTGGATAATGTGATACTTGTAACCGTAGCCTACATGCTATATGTTTACTATACATCCGTTAATCACTGGAAAAAAATCGCGCGCTTTAATGGTTGTAAATTTGATGTAAATATGATGCAAGTGTCCAAAATTCTGTAAATTTGATGTAAATGTTTGCCATTAAATTTACAGAATTTTGGACACTTACATCATATTTACATCAAATTTACAACCTTAAAAGCGCGCGATTTTTCTCAGTGAATACTGTCTTTAGTTCGACAAATTAAGAAAAGTGAGAAATGAAGAAAACCCTTCTATATTTTCTAGACATCGGTGGGCGGTACAACGGAAGAGTTATTACCCGGCGGTTCACAGCTCCCCGTGACCCCAGAGAACATCTTCAAGTATGTGAGGCTGTACGCTGGTAAAGTAATGACCGGCTGCGTTGAAGACGAACTTCGTAGTATGCGGAACGGACTTCATGATGTTATTCCTACAGAACTATTGACCACCTTATCGCCCGAGGTATGAAAAAATAAACAAACAAATAATAAATTTTACAGCGCGCGTTCATGTTATTGTTTACATACGTTTAAATGCGCCAAGCATAAAATAGATTATAGATTGATAGTACCTGTGAGGTACTTAGTTAAAGGTATTTCTGTCCAAACTAAAAGGATGGAAGATGATTCTCGCTCACTTTCAGAAATCCTACAAATCCGCCATTTTCGTTTCCCCCATAAAATGGAGCTTCTTCTCGCAATGTACGGCGGTTGGTTGTGATTCTTTAATAACCTTAACTTGACTTGTATTTTGTTCTCAGGATTTCCAGTTACTTCTGTCAGGAGGGACTACAGACATTGATATCTCTAAACTACGATCATTAATCACCTTCACCAATAGCAATGGCTGTTCTAAAGATATCTTGGAGCGATTTAAAAGGTATACGTATATAACGCGCCCTGTGATTGGSTSAATTACCGTCTTATCGAATATATTAGTGATTGTAACRCGGCCTGYGATAGGSCAATCGACTTCACATAAAACGATGSATATTCGTGTGAAAATTATGATCGGACGCTAACAATATTTTGTACAGCGCCCGGACTAAACATTCAAACGTTTGATGGTAATCAATATACCAAATTTGCTTTATCTTTTACTCTTACACGAAAATTGCTCTGTACTCTTGCTATCTGAGGCTGAATTTTACCTCCCCTCATACTTTATTTACCKCGACCTGAAAACAGAACTTCACCGAAAATAAATACAGACGAGTCTTGACTTCCGGGTGTTTACACGGTACGATTTGTCGCGCGCGACTTGTAGTATACGATTTTCCTACTACAAGTCGTAGGATTTTAAGCAGTGGTTCAAAATCCTACCACAGGTCGTAGGTTGCGTACGACTGTTGTAGACAAGTCGTAGGGGCATTTACACTGCGCGATTCAAGTCGTATACTACAAATCGCACGAGACAATCGTGCCGTGTAAATCAGCCTTAAGGAGTGGTTCAAAATCCTACTACAAGTCGTAGGTTGCGTACGACTGTTGTAGACAAGTCGTAGGGGCATTTACACTGCGCGATTCAAGTCGTATACTACAAATCGCACGAGACAATCGTGCCGTGTAAATCAGCCTTAAGCGGACAGTTGTCCAGTTCCTCCGTTTTACTTTACTCGATACAAAGACTGCATTTACGCTCTATAGAGGAACAGCTCTACCAACACCTTTTCGTTTCATACGGGTGTCCGCCAACCGRGGGGTTCAACTGTATTTCCTAAGGTTAATCCCGCTTATCGTCTCTATGTCTAATGTAATACTGTTGTGTATTTCTACAGGTGGTTTTGGTCAATCGTTCAAAAGATGACCCCCCTGCAAAGACAGCAGCTGTTATATTTTTGTACTGGTAGTGCCGTCTTACCTGTCATGAACGACAGACGGGACCCTGAACAAGGTTGGTGATACCCCCTATAGGGGGTAGGGAAGGGATATTTTTGGTCTTAGGGAGGGGAGGGTTAAGTCCTCCTTTCAAAGGCATTTTTGTCTGTTATTGTGGCAAGGGTGTAATATCTGGAGGTAGAGTACAAGAGTGTTCTTACCCTTGAGTAGATTTGTATGTCTGCTTGAGAAATATTCATTCTGACATTGTATATACCTATTTCAAAAAAGGTTGTCGGATAAAATGGCGAATGTTAGTTGTCGAAAGGCGATTGCACGACCGAAATTAGCCTGAGTTTTTGCTAATTGATGAAAAATAACAACTGATTTATCTGATTTATACTGTAAGATTGGCGAACATTGGTTTTATTTACTTACAGTGTAACCATAGTCCCTTTCGGTCGTGCATTCTCCCTTTGACAATCGCCGTTCGCCGTTCTMCCCGACACCGTTTTTGAAATAGTTGTATAATGGTTCTTTTATTCAATTTCTTTATCATCATATCTATCACAGTCATAAGCAATATCAATACTTGTGACTATGCTTATGTTCGCATTTTTCTTTTGTCTTTAGATTTGAGCGTCACCATTGATGTCATCAGCGGCAACACCAAGGCGTTACCTATGGCAACYACATGCGGTCAGCGGATGAGTATACCACTTTATCCATCCAARCGAATTTTGAAGAAGAAGCTCTTACAGGCGATTCAGTGCCAGAGTTATGGACTGGGGTAGTTACAGATAATTCAGATAAAAATAGATTCTTTTGTCACGCAGTCAAAAGATGGCAAAATTTGTACCGCTGGATGTCACGCAGTCAATCTTTGTGGTATGAACGCGTCGAAWAACGACGCAATCAAACTGAGTTCGCTGCATCATTTGTTATTGTTTTTCGCTGATTTCGTTATGTTTTTCTCGAGGAGCGAGATTTGACCGCTGTGCCTATTTGTAAGGAATGGGARCGTSACAGTGTTAGCGTAACGCAACTTGCGTATCGTAAAGAGTTGAACAGTGTGTTTCTTGATGTGKTCAACAAGCCTATGTAACGCGSTCGCYAGAGATGCGTGATTTTGGAAAACGACAATTTCGAMAATTTCGGCCAATTTTAAGAGAAATTCTATCGAAGAAAAATAGYTGTTAGTCAGCCGTCTCTTTGTATTTTTATCCAAAACACTTTGGTCAAAATTTGCTAAGTAGAATATATCCGTAACGCTGCCGCAATGAATTCCTCAAACGAGGTCTTTTTACACTTTTATGAACAAAGGCCTGGATACCTAATGCGAAAAAGCCTGGAAACTTTTTCGTGGACRAAAGGACTTACTTCCTTATTGTTGTAGGCCTGGTAATCTAAAGGTCATGAAAATTAACTGCTAAGGCTTGGTTACTTTCAAGGAACAAGCCCGGTTATCTTTTCATAAAGGAATGGTTACCATGTTGAAAAAGGACTTGGCAATCTCATTGTAACAGTTATTTCTTTCGAAATTTCAACTGGCGATTTTGAGTATCGCCAAAATGGTATTCCTTCTCTCAAAAGAATATGTTATCATARAGGTCCATGAGGTACCTTGCTATCTACTGAACATTTCATATTACAGTTGTATAGACAAATTTGTCATTATTTTACMGTAAGTCAAATGTTTGATGCTCGAAGCGTTCTGAATGTGTGCAGAATACTTACTGAGTTAATTGGGATCCCTGTGTTAGTGTAAATAGAATCTAAGAGAAGGCCATGTTAGTAAACTGCTCTGTAATTTTTTTAGACTCTTTCATTCGCATGAGWAATTGTGATTTTATTGTTTGTGTCCACTATTGGGACGATCTTGCACTTAATGATTAAAAGAGATTTAGATTATTCTGTATTTTCGTGCTAAGCGTGTTTTTGTAACCCATTTTCCATCATTTGTTGTCTAACTCACTCGCTCGCTCACTCACTTTTGTGTTAATCACTAAAGATGTTTTTTTYCTTTCTTTAATCAAAGAAATATTATTAGAATCTTCTTAACAATTGAAAGAGAGTTTTTGAGCGGATTTTTTTAACAGTGAYTATATAGCCCATTCGTCAGTTTTCTTTCTCGTTTTACTCTAATTGATATGGATTTCTAATTTTACAGTAACAAGACGAAAATTTGTTGCTTTGGAGTTGTGTGCTTTATTACTATACAACTTGAATATAACAGCTTCAAGGTCCTTTAATTCAATTTTACTGCTCACTAAGCCCCCCTCAATCCGGCCATACCTCTATTGTTTGATTCAATCGGATATGTACGTCTTAAGCACATATTAAACGKGCTTGCCTACTTGATTTAGCGGGGTTTCATAAGACCAATAATCTAGTGAATATCAAAGCATCATAAAATTCCCACTACAGGGGGAAGGGAAGGGAATATTCTAACAACTACCTTGACGTTTTTTTCATTAATGGCTTTCTATAAGGAGCGACGATTTCCCCTTCCCCACTCCCCCATAGGTTCAATATGTACAGTATGATGCGGTAATTGATTAATTTAATAATAAACTCGGACCCAGATCTCTCGTGTTTTTACTGCCAGGAGATTTGGGTTCGAGGTTTAAATAGGACAGTCATCAATAGCTGTTTCAAAATTCGTTTTAAAGCACAATCGATAAACGTTCGTTTATCAATATACAATCGATAAAAATTCGTAATCTGCTCAATGCCTAAGAAGTCAAATTATGCTGCTTAGATTATAATCAATAATTTCTCGCTGGTGAATACATAATCGATAACGTCTCGACAGTCGTTTGATTTACTGTCTGTTCCTTTAAATTTCCTAAACTTTAAAACGTTGTAATAGAATTATTTTTGTTTAAAGACTGCATCGTTTCTTATTCATTTTGTCTGACATATTTTTAGTTTAAGCTTAATAACGCGTGATGTGCTGGCGATTTATCTAAACAATTACTATTTTGCGTTTAATTTATGTCTTTTAGATCTAATTCTAGTTCGAAAGCGAGCCATGATCTTTGTAAAAATTACTCGTGTGGTGGTAGCAAAGCAACATGATTTATTGCTTGTCACGCCAAAGCGTGATTTGATTTAAGTAACGCTCATGGCAAATTCAAGTGATGTCACGCCAAAGACTACCCAATATTTACAATTTGCAACAGAACTAATATACACTAAAGCTATAAGCACGTTAAAATGATACCATGCAAGATATCATTGCATTTAAAGGCCATAAGATAATTTGGAATCATATAATAAAGGTTTCACKTTATGTAGGTATCGCTTCACGCTGAATTACCGTAGTGTCACGCATACCAAAATGTCACGCTTCTTTGTTTTTCTTTTTGCGTCTTCTTTTAAAGACAAGGTGAAAGTGTTACTGTGTGTCACGCTTGAATGTAGAGACAGCTGCAGCGCTGTGTTACGATTGTGTAAAGAGAAAACAATAATTTGCAAAAAAGAAACCAAGAGAAGTGCAGTTTCATCTGCGAATGACATTTGAGGGCAAAGTGTGCAATGGCGTACCAAAGTTGCCTTAGCGACGACATAAATCTCTTTAACACCAACGTTTAATAGTAGCCTCCGTCGTTAGGGTAACGGTCGTCATAGTTACCATATCCTTGCATCTGATTAGGGGCTGATATGTCATAACGATTTTGTTCCCCTTGATACGCATATTGCCCTTCCTGCATGTACTGCTGATCTACATAAGGATCATGGCCATAATCCTGCTGGTACCCTTGCTCGGTCCCATATTGGCCGTAATCACTGTGGCCCTCATGATAATGTCCCTCCTGATAATGGTCCTGCATGTATTGGCTTTGCTCTGGATATTGATTTTGAGTACCATATTCCTGTAGGGCCATGGGTGAGCCATAGGGATTTTCCGCTGCGTAGTCGAAACCTTGCTCGTAACCTTGATCCCTGTAATAATAGTCGTACCCATTCTGGGGGTCTTCCTCGTAACCCTGAGGGTAGTCYTCGTACTGCGTGACCTGGAAACCTGGTGCGTTTCTTCCTGCTTCGGATATTTTCTGTTTTGAGCTTTGTGAGAGTTTTTGCTTAGGGTCGTCTTTCTTGCCTTTGTTTTTCTCCAGTAGTGCTCTCTGTGCAGGGTTGCCATCGGCGCTACAGATGCTAAGTCTGGAGAAAAAGAAAGAAGTCAGCTGAGCAATGATRAATTAAGAAACGGAAACCATAAGAGAGTGCATCTGCTAGAGCGCAGTAATACTGTTCTSWCCCATTCAATTTTGTCTAGGATTGTAGMTATAGGAAAAAAGTTCGAAAGTCTCGGTAGGGATGGAAGAATTAGAATTAAAAGGACAAGCGACGTATTCCAGGTTTTTAGTCTGGAAACTATTTGCTGCAAACAATGAAAAAGGAAAAACTCCATTTAGAAATGAAAACTCCATTTAAAAAAACCTGATGGAAATCAAGAAACGAAGCGAATCTTTAAGATATCTACGAGTTGTACTGATTAAGATTAGGTAATATGCCAGTATCACTATGATCACTGCTTTATCATCGTCATCATTTCTAAAGCATCATTTACCTGGGTGTGTGTAGGTGATCGAGTTTCAGGGGTGCCATGCTCTGTTTTCTTTCACTGGCATCTTTAAATGAGGTGGAACGACCGGAATGGCTCGATAACATGGGGTTTGGTCGGTCTGGAAAGTCTAAGCCACTGAGCATCATTCGTTTCGTGTCTTCAGGGTCATCCGGGTGAAGATCACGCCAATAT